CTGCGGCTGTCGGCCCGCTTCTGCGTCGACGTGACCAAGTACTCCATGGACACATACCTGCTTGGGCACCACACGCAGTTCTACAGCCAGGCCGGCTGCCTCGCCATGTGCGCACAGCTGGTTCGCGGCGATGACGCGTCCATGGACATGGACGGCGGTGGCGGCGGCGACCGGGGCGAGTGCATGCTGGAGTTCTTCCTCCCACTGGACTGCAGGGACAGCGCGATGCAGAAGTAGCAGCGGACGCCATCGCGGCTACCATGAGAGCGAGAAGTAGTGGACAGTGGAGAGAGAGACGATGGGCTTAGTGGTGCGACACAGAAATGGAGCGGGGGTTTTTTTTGCAAAGTAGCCAACGGGCCCGCGTCTAGTCTCCACGGTGGCATGTCCATGTTAGCTTTTGGTGCACGCGTGGCATGTTTTTGGACGGGTGGTGAATGAGACAGATAGATCGAGGATCCAGACGGTAGCATTTTTAGTTCGAGGACCCATATTGGAATCCACCAAAAGTCTAAGGAACTACGGTGCAATTTACTCCATGCTATAAATAGTTGTCACGTGTTCGATCTCTGGAATCCAACGGCGCATGGCGGTGTTGGAAAAGCGCATCAAAACCTAACGACGAACGCCATCTCACTCCATTGGTCCCGACCCTGACACGGCGACGACGCTCCAGCAGTGCGGCGGCGACCTGCTCGCGACGAGGCCAAGGCGCGGCAGCGAGATCGCAGTCAGCATGCGAGCATAGGCGGGCAGGAGCATGCTGGGCTCGTTGAACCGACGGCCGGGCCCGAGGCTTAAAGGGTTATATTATGCCCGTGTGGTACTGGGATGGCCTGTTTGGCCATCTAGAGGGAGTGTAGGCTGTACTCCTAGGCAGTAGCATCCATTCATCAAATTACTCCCTCCGTATTCAAAATACTAGACGTCCTGGGCCAACAGCCCATTTTCGTATAAGCTGACCTTATGGCCTCCCGATGGAAACATTGGACGCGAATGCCCTTGGCCATGCATGCGCCGCCGCTTCCGTTCCTCGCCCTCGGTACTTGCAGCAGAAGCACGCGCTTCTCCTCTCTTCGTCTCCCGACGCAGCCACGCCTCCTCGCTCCTCCATCGCTCCGTCTCGCAGAAACTCTACCGCTGCCACCTTGTTAGGGTTTAGCCTTTGCCATGGATTCCTGCCGATGACTTCCTCTAATAGCTTGTTCAAAAGTGACTAGTGGAAAGCAACCTATTTTGCCATCAAACACACATTCTCCATTTCTAAATCTTGGCCGAGCACATACACACAAGAACATGATCCTAGGGATGTAGTTCTTGTTTTTGCAAGTTCGATGTGGCTCATCTTCCTCGGGTAGCAAGTAGTACCCCTCTGATTTTTTATGGAGGTAGAACCACTTCTCATCAATAAACACAAAGTCAAACAAATCCTTGAACTTTGGATCATCAAGCAAACCTTGGTCAATCATGTCAATGTACCACTTCAACCTAGTCTTCTTGTTAGCATTAGTGAGATAAGGTTTGATACTACTAGAGTGGCGTCTAATCAAACCCTTTTTCAAATACCTTTGAATCCTAGATTTGCTAATACCAAGTCTACTAGACACATCTTCTATTGTCATTCTTTGTTAGAGAGGAATGTTGCGCAATTGTTCCAAATCAAGAGGGATTGGTTTACGTCCACTTCTACCTTTCTTTAGATTAAGAACCATGACTGGAATGTTGTCAGCAAGTTGGTTTTTACCTTGCTTCCATATGCGCTGCACTGATCGAATCTGTACTCCAAATTGAGCACCAACAATTGTTGTATCATGCTTGCCTAGTTTGCCATTTTTGCTTCTCATCAACAATGCTTGGTACACTTGTTGTCTAACATGATCAGAATAGTCATGCTTCGGTTGGTTTACTTGATCGGCATGTTGTTCTAGCAAAAGGAAAAAACAACCATTTTAGTAGTACTCACGGCATGTTCACGGCATGATCTATTTATAGGGAAAAAAACAAAGACACTGATATAATAGATGTTCACTGCATGTTCTATTTATAGGGGAAAAACAAGCATGTTCATGGTAGTAATAGTAGTCACGGCATGATCAAAATATAGGACTACAACAAGCATTTTAATGGTACTCAAGGAGTGAAATAAATATAGGAATCTGTACATACTCAAAAAAAATAGCATGATGTAAATATAGGCATGCTTACCTGGGGTTTATGTAAATAATCAAAATCTACAGCTCCAAATTCATCTAGTGGCAAGTTCAAATCAATTCTTGTCCAAAAATAAAAGATCATGCTGAGAATGGAACCTAATATGCATGCCATGCTCCACCGGATACAATGAAACAATTCATGTCCAAAAAGAAAAGAACATACCGTTGCCATGCTCCAACGGAGGCTCGTTCAGATAAAAAAAGTGTCGCCGTCGTCATCTTCATGCTCTGCGAGATGAAACTCAGTGTTGCCATCGCCATCTTCATGCTCTACAACATGAAACCGTTGATGTCGTTGAGATCCCATGGTAGGTTGCCATCGCGCACACAGAAACAACAAAACAAAATGGAACTAATAATAGATGGTTACCGCTGCCGTCGTTGAGATCCCACGGCAGGTTGCCGTCCTCTTCTTCTTCTACACGAACGTTGAGATCAAAGCCAGAGAAGTAATCAGCCATTATGCCGTAGTAGTAGATGTGCAAGGAGAACAGCTAGTCCATGGCGGCGTAGTAGCACCAAGCAAGGCAAGGAAGGCAAGGGAGTAAATGGCGTTAGAGAAGAGAGAAAGCAAGTTGCCGCATAAATAAGCCAGTGGTGTGGAGTACAGGTAGCTCAAACGTCGGTCTTCTCATTCGAAATGAGCGCGTACCATCAGCCATCCGAGCGCGCGGACGAAATAAGAAAATCAAACAACCTGAAACGTGCGCCAAGCAAAAATACAGGCCACCAAGCGACTCCAGCTTCCATCCGTGCGAAAAAAGGACGCGCCACGCCGGTGGAACAGTGGCATGCACGCCCATGCAAAATGAAGGGGGCAACAAAAAAAATATGGCTGCCAGGTTTCGAACCCGAGTCGTAGCACTCATGCCTCCACGCACTAGCCAGTTGGGCTGAGTTACTTTCTCGTAAAGATATCACCCGTAATCATATTTATTAGGGGCAAAGATGGAAAACTAACCCCTAATTAATCATTCTTAGTTACCGCAATTATGTCTTAAACGTCAGGTTTTTTTGGTATGGAAGGAGTACTTATTTTTGAATGAACGAAGGCAACACAAACACCAAAGGGCAAAGGCGGGCCCCGGATCGGAATGGGGTCCCAGTTTTGTCCGTGCGTGTGCCTCAGCTCGTCCCTCTCCGACCCCGGCCTCTGTCTCCCCCATACGAGATCTCCGGTGCCGACGATCTCCTCCTTCGTAGCAGCCAGCGGCGGCAGCAATGGCGGACGACAACACGGTGACGCTGGTCCGCCTCATCCTCGCCATCATCCTCCCGCCGCTCGGCGTATTCCTCAAGCACGGCATCAAGGTTCGTCGACGATCCGCCGCCTTATCGCTCGACGTACGTCGTCGTCGTAGGAACAGACGAACGGAGGCATGCATGCATCACGCACGCACGCACGCCGGAGGAAATTGAATTCACGTCGTGCTGATGAATCTTTTTTTGGTATTGGTATGCATGCCCCATACCGTACCGTACGTGCAGGTGGAGTTCTGGATCTGCCTCATCCTGTCCTTCTTCGCCTACCTGCCGGGGATCATCTACGCCGTCTGGGTGATCATCAAGAGGGACGACTAGGAGCTAGCTAGTGATCAGCAACGCGCCACATGAATGACCGGACCACACCAAGGCATTGACGTCCGTGCATTAGCAGTAGTAGTGTACACGATTGGGTTATTCCGGCTTGGAAACAACATCTTTTTTTTTTTTTATTGTAAGTGTAAGTATAGGGAGGAGGAGAAGGGGTGACTATTAAAGGAGTCGTCCACCGCAGTTGTAGTTGTAGCTAGGCTTGTTTTGAGGATGCATGCAGGAAGCTGCTAGTTATCGCCCCGTTCATTTGGCTTATTTGGTTTATAATCCGTATTTTTTCAACTAACGAATAGTATTTTTATCTCACAACAAATTAGTCAACAGTACTTTCAGCCATGGCTTATCAGCCAAGCGAACAGGGCAAATATACATACTTTCTTGTCTTGGCGTTGAGTACAGGTACAGTACACCTCCGATCCTGCTTAAGCTTCATCTGAAAGCTCTCCCTCTTCGTCGCGGCTTCATCCACTCTCTCCCCCAGTCTCCTGCAGCGGCGTCGGCAGCATCAGCATGCATGCCCTTCCGTCGATCGGCAAGCTCTTTTCCTTCTCCCGCGGTGCAGGAAGTTACTTGCAAATCATCATCAATTGAATATATAATACTTTATTACTGTGGTGATGACACAGCTGGCCTAAGTGTTCCAGACGCTGACGTAGCGTTGAGTGCAAGCAAAAGCTGACCTGACGCAACGGGTCAAGCAGTCAGAGATGGAGCCTGCAGTTTCAAGGTTTCTTTGCGGATGACTGACGAATCCTCTTCTCCCGTCAGATAGTTCGCTTTGGTAATGAGTTCAATATGAAGATGCGTCGAGTGAAGAAGAAGCTAGCACGCTTCGACTATTTGGATTTGGCACAAGAAAGCAATGGTTTTGATTTTATTTGGCAAGCTAATTAAAAGGAGGAACATTAATTGTATTGTGGCCACCAAAGCCAGGAACACCGCGCAAGCATGCATGTATCACCGTATCAGTCACTCAATATATACAAACAGACTACAGACCTGATAAATAAATTAATTAATTAAACCCAAATGAGCAAGCCGACACACACACACCACCAAGCAAATAAATCAGACAATGCAAAGACACGCTTTGCCTCGAGTCCCGACTCTTAATTTGAGACCCGGCGGCCAAACATTCGAACTTAACAAACACACGGACCACAGCGACCAGAGACCACGCAAATCAACCGGCTAGTATTTGTGCTGGAAGTCCTCGGTGGCGGTCGTGGGCTGGTACCCGACACCATGCCGGTTGTTGGGAAACACCATGAACACGTACCCCGCGACGCCGCCGACGACGGGCGGGAGCACGGCCATCATGGTGCGCTCGCTGAGCTCGAGCGCCGGGTAGAGGCAGGCGACGGTGTCGGCGTCGAGGAGCGCGATGGTGGCGAACACGAGCAGCGCCAGCGCGGCGTGGACGAAGTCGCCCGCGCGGAGGCGGTACGCCGACAGGTCCCGGGCGGCGGCGTCCGGGTCGGGCGTGAAGGTGCGCAGGCCCCGCTGCGTCACCACGCCGTAGTAGACGCGGCCGTCGGACCCCACGTAGCTGTCGGTGAAGGAGGAGAAGGCGCAGAAGACGCCGCAGAGGGCCACCAGCGTCCCGCTGAGTACCTTGTTGAACGTCGCGCAATGCCCGTTGTTGGTCACCAGCGGGGAAAGGAACTGGAGCAGGAACACCGTGCCGCTTGGGAGTAGCTTGATCAGGTCCGCCACGCCCCGCAGCGCACGGTCCGCCACGCTCACGGTCAAGCTCCGTGGCGCCGCCATATATATCCTCTTTGATTTGATCGGTCCGATCGATCGATCTATCGATGCCTAGCTGCTAGCTGCAGTTGCTGCTTGCTGGTTAGTACTACATATACAGTGGTGAGCTAGTTTGTGGATCGATCGATCTGCTGTGTAATCTTGCTGTGTGCGACAAGCGGTGGCAAATCAATTGCAATGTGCTCAGCTGGCTTTACTTGGCGAGAGATAGGAATACGAATCATATGATGCAATGCAACGATTTATAGCTCCCGGTACGTGCTTGCTAGTTGCTGGCAGCGCATGCATCGTGTGGACGGGGGAACGCGGGAGGAATTGGAACGGTTGCTTGAAAGGATAGTCGATCTGTTTCCGGGGGGGAAAAGTGGCGTTGCTTGGTTTGCTTGCACTCCTGGGCGACATGGATCGATCGGTGATCAGTCGGTGGCGTTTTTGCATGCTTTAAGCAGCAGCAGGCATGACATGCATAGCTTGAGCTTCTTGCCCGCCGGTCTCTATCCAGTCACTACTTGTACACAATCGAATATACACACGCACGGCTTGCTGTCGCTTTTGCTTGGCATGCCAAGTGAAGAGACGTCCGATACATCTTGCTTGCTTTTGTTTGCAAGATATAAAGATATATATATCTTGGCAACATAAGTTCGACTTTGCACTAACACATATTGTAGCACCTATCATGTCTCTAGATAGCAGCTGCTTGCTTGTGTGAAGGAAACGATTCCTCCTCCTATGTACGGTCGAGTGCGTGGGCACCGATCAATCGGCCGGCTCCTCTACCTGTACTTGACTGATGGTCATCAAATAAAAAAGGTGGTGTTTGTAGCTTAAGATAGCATGACGACGCCTATGCCAAATTCCCGACCCAATATTCAATTCGTGCGGGCTCTTTTGACATGATTATTTCAAAATTTTCGTGGTGCGACGCTGTTGTTTGTTGCAGTGGGGATGTGCGTTATACTGCTACGACGGAGGACACCGGCAGGTTCCACGGCACAAACATCCTAGGGGGCGTTTCCGGTTATTTGGGCAATTTCTCATGGCAAAGTATGATCAGTAGTCATGCCATCGGCGAGGAGATTCCGTTTCCCTTTCCCGGCGGCCGTCCTCCACTCAAAACGAGCGTTAGGAGCCTAGGACTAGGACTCTGGTCACGTTTAGGAGTATATATATAACGCTACCAACGGGAAAATGTGTTTTTTCCCTTGGGTTCCTTAATTTCTACGTTGCTCTATTGAATATCGGTAATGCTCTGTCTAGGGTGTTCGGACACCCCGTTCCCATCGGATGCATCGAACCACACAGACAAAAGCTCTGCTCGCGCGCTACGCTCGCTCCTGCCCGCGCGCCTCACTCCGCACAAGCCGCTCGCTTCCGCCCGCGCCGCGCCTCATCGCCTACGCAGATTTGCCCCGTGCTGCTGTAGTGGATCGACAACGTCGAGGCGCAGGGCCATGCCACCGTCTTCGTCGCCAAACTCTTGATCGCATCGGCCCTGTCCTTCCTCACCGCCGTCCCCGAGCCGGCCCTGTTCTTCCTCACCGCCGTCCCCGAGCCACAGCGCCCAGATATAGGCCTGCCGCGGCCGACTCCACCGCAGCGGGCTGCCTCCACCCTACTGCCGCGACCACCTCCATCGCGTCAGGTGCCGCCATCTGCTGTCGCGCCCGCCTCCACCGCTTCAGTTCGCCGCGCCGCCCACGCCATATTTCGCTGAAAAACGCATGTCGCAAACATATGTTCCAGAAGTTTAGATGTTTCAGAGACACGTTGCAAGTGTTTTATACGGATGTTGAAAAAGTAGATCGAGATGTGCATATGTTGCAATGGTTTATACACGTATGTTTCAAGCGTCTGTTCCCAATGTTTCATCTTCTTTTTTCAGACGTATGTTGCAAGTGTGTTTATCTAGATGTTGCATATTTTTCACACATGTGTTGCAAATGTTTTATCTGGATGTTGCGTATGTTTGCAATGGTTTTCAAGTGTTTTTTCACATGTTTTTGCAAGTGTTTCAGACACATGTTTCAGTTGTTTCATCTGTCTTCTTTTGTATATTACAAGTATTGCATCTAGATGTTTCAAAAGTAGATCAGGTGTTGCATATGGGATGCGCGTGGGAAGTAGGAGGATGCGCGAGCGGTCCCCGCACGGGCGGTGTAGTCAACGTCCGAATGACGCATGCCTCGTGTGGGCGCACGAAACACAAGCGTGGGCGGACGACTTCCGAGCGGCGTGGGCCTCACGTGACACGCGAAACAAGGCGTGGAAATGCACTGCAGCCGCGCGCGCCCGGGCGCTATAGCAGTGTCGTTTGAATATAGATTTTCGAGGCAATGGGACATAAAATGATTTACCATAATGTAAGGCTTCAAATTTCTGTAGATTCCGAGAATGACATGCACTATTATTTACCTTAGGTCAAACTATTATAAGTTTGCTCAAGTTTATAGAGACAAGTCTTAACATTTACGCCTTTAAATGAGTATATAAAAATATATCGCATAATGTATCTAAGAGAGTCATTTGATATCATAAATAATATTGTTTTCTCTATAAATTCGATCAAATTTTATGATAATTTGACTTAGGAAAATTCAAAGTTAATACATGTATTTAGGATGGATGCAGTATATAATTGGTTGACGGTTGAAATAGTGCACTACAATGGAAGTGCACTCACTTCAATTTTCAAAGAATGATTTCTCTAACAATCTCAATGCCCAAAAAACATTAAAGTTTGCTTTAAACTCTTTATTTAGATTCTTTTTTAGCCTAGTTATTCCTAGTGTCATCTCCAGTAATAATAATTAGCAATAATAGCAACATACATGACACTCCAGTAATGAGTATGTCATCCAGACAAAACGCAGTAATAATGGCAACACGATTTCTACGGTGACCATAAAAACATACTCCCTCCATTCTTCTGTTATAAGACACAACTTGACATCACACGGTCTTCCAAATTATACTTTGACAATCTATTTATTTTATTTTAGATTATTTATATATACTTATAAAATTATATATGACGGTCACTCTTCCAAATCGTGATGTTGGTTTCGTCTAGGCTGAGGATGGGCTGGCATTGTGAAGTGTGTATTCATTCTCATTGCTGGTGGGAGCCCAATCGAATGGCCCATTTTAGGGGGGTCTCGACAGCTTCGCAATTTCCGCCTCAATCTCTGGAAGATTGGGCCCAGCCCACCTCCAGTGGTGGTGCGGTGCAGCCAATTCAAGAGAAGGACGGGGGCCAATCCAGGACCCCGGTCCAACCATACCGCTAGTCCGCGGTCACGCGTAGGCTAACCAAACCAACCCAAAGGTTGGGTTGCAGTCGCAAACGCAAGCGCAAGCGCAAGCGGTCGAGCTCGAGCCCAATCCAGCGGAAACCCCCAACCCTAGCTCCCGACTCGAGCCGATCGACCCCCGATCCGATCCGATCTAATGTTCCCCACCGTCGACGACCCCTCCGCCGCCGGCGCCATGGTCTCCTCCTCCTTCCCTGACGCCGACGCGTACGGCAACGGCGACTCCGACGACCTCGACTTCCCCGTCGACCCAAACCCCAACCCGGTCTTCTCCTCCTCCCCCGTCGCCGCGGCCCCCGCGTCCGGGGCCGGGGAGCGGCGCCCGCTGTTCCAGCGCCTGTGGACGGACGAGGACGAGATCGTGATCCTGCGCGCCTTCGCTGAGTTCACGGCGCAGCGGGGCACCTCCTTCGCGTCGCACCAGTACGACACCACCCCCTTCTACGAGGACATGCGCCGCCGCCTCAACACCGGCTTCACCAAGAACCAGCTCGTCGAGAAGATCCGCCGCCTCAAGCGCAAGTACCGCAACTGCGTCGAGCGCCTCCGCGTCGCCGGCGCCGGCTTCACCTTCCGCTCCCCGCACGAGCAGGCCATCTTCGAGATCGCCCGCACCATCTGGCGCCCCGCCTCCGACAAGCACGGCCGCGACTCCGACGACGAGGGCGGCGGCAACGCCCACGACGCCGCCTTCGCCATGCCCCCCTTCGGGATCGACGCCGCCGCCGCCAACGGGGATTCCGCCAAGTCCCCGACCTCGAGGCCACGCCGTGGCCGCCGCCGCCGCCGCACGGGCGACTTCCCCGCCGACGCGGTCGCCGAGACGCTCGCGCTGCCGCCGGCGCACATGCAGATGCCGGTGATGACCGAGGACGCGCTCCCCTCGTACCCGCAGGTGACTGCGGCGGCGGTCATGGACGGTGGCTGCGGCCTCAGCGTGGACCCGGCCTCTGGGCTGCCGGGCGCGCTGTCAGCGGCAACGGCCGTATCCGGCAGCAGCACCGCGGAGAACCCCATCCTGGCGGCGATGTTCAAGGAGATGGTACGCGCGATGCTGAGCGTCGGTGGCGGGGGCGGCACCACGGGGCTTCTGGGGCTGGAGCCGCCGCCCCCTATCGCTGGGGTGCCGATGGAAGGGGAGAAGTGGCGGCAGCAGCGGATCCGGGAGCTGGAGGTGTACCTGCGTCGGATCGACCTGCTGCAGGACCAGGCGAGGGCGGCGCTGGAGGAACTCAGGTCCGCGCCGCACGCCGGAGGCATGAACACTTGATCATCTTGGGTTCATTCAGCAGCTCCAGCGTCGGTCTTCTTCTTGCAGATAGAGCATCGTCCATAACCAACCATAAGAAAGGATCGTTTTACTGGTAGATTTATCTAGGCTCGAGCAGCAGCAGAAAGAGGGGTTTTCGTCTGTAATTCTGATTTTCTATCTGCACTGCAGACTAGCCGCGTCGTCTTTCTTATTTATATATAATAACTTATATAAAGGTCGTCCTACCGTGCCTATCTATCCTATTTAAAATTTACAAAAGAATGTATGAGCTCAGCTGCTAATGTCAGTCTTTTCACTGCACATGGAACATCATCGCACCACTGGCTGTTGATGCGACCCGACAAGACAGACATGGATACGATCATACGAGGAATCTATAGGAGTGCATCAAAGAATTTCGCATCACTCTGAAAAAAGTGCCGCTGAGGTATTGTACTTGGCAAACAGTTGTAAGTTGTAACAGTCACATGACACTCTCTCAAGACGGACGAGAAGACGAAGCCATACTTAGCCATAACTTGGTCCTTGGAGTCGGAGCATCGTCGTGTTCAGCAACAAAGAATATGAGAGGTTGACATTCTGTAGCGCAAGTAAGAGATGCACAGACCCAAGTTCAATCCAACCTCAGGCACAATTGTGCCAGAGCCACACAGGAGACACATCAAAGAGAGCTTTTTTGTATTTTATCTTGCTCTTCTCGAAATAATATAGAACTTACTACGCAGATAGCAAAAATGCTGAACATTCGTTGCTCCAGTAGTATTTGGGGCAAATTCAGCAGGGTATTCACGTGCTTTGATACACAGACTTCCCTTGATTGACCTATCACTGTCACACAAACCTATCCGATAACATAATACTATTATGACTAATCATTTCATCTTTTCTGGCTGACACTCATCAGCGCACACCAAGATATCTATCCTGAGACGACCACAGGAAAAGAAGATTTAACTTTTCCTGGAGCATCAGTAGTTGCAGTATCCGCTGTTGTGTATAAGGACAGCGGCTGCCAGCCTGAAGAATGAGGCACAAGCCATTTCTTTCGAACAATAACGATATGCAGAACCTGGAGAATGTCGCCCAGTGCATACTGCTGCATGCACGATCTCTTCAAGATCATTGCAGCTTGGTACCTACCAGAAGGAAATGCAAATATGTTGCTGGCATTCCAGAATAAAATGATGAAATGATTAGCACAAGAGAAGGTACAAATACTGACCTTGACTGAGAATTCATCATTGCAGAGTGGCCATCGGGGGATGAAATGTACTTATAAACTGCCTCTAGCTCCTCTGTGGGATTCTTTGCTTTGGTATTTGTTACATTCACACATTTCCAGAGGCTCTCGTCTTTTGCAACAAATAATGGCATGTCATTTAGTAATTTCTTCATAACGACAGCTTCATGTCGAATGGCAAGTTCAAGAGCCTTCTTAACATCAAAACCTGTTAAATTCAGCTCTCCATAACATATACAGTCTGCAATGTTTGTTTCTGTTGGGAATATCTTTTCAGTCTTCAATATGTCCAAAGCTTGCAATATTATTCCTACTTCAGGCTCAGCAGAATTTGACAGATGTCTTGGCTTATCTCCAGAGTGTTCAGAGCTTTGCATATCACTGGACATATTAGGTTGGTGCCCGACTGTGCAAGTATAGCCACTGAAAGGAGGTTGGCCACTTTGAGGGTCACTAGAGTGATTCAGATAGCAGCTGGAGTTAGAATCCAAGTGAAAAGATGATCTGCTCTCGTGAAAACCTACAGGATGTCCAGAATTATCTGGCATTCCCATCGAAGGACCATTAGTAGGTGGACCTTGAGGCCTGGTCTCAGTAGTTCCTTGAGGGCATTCAGAAATATTCAGTCTACCAAAACTATTGCAAATATCATCCAAACCTTCAAAAGCTGAGCCACTGGACCATGTTCGTGTTTGTGCAAACGGAACACCATTTTGTTCTACTGATGGCGAAGCAGAGCTGCCTCTATGCAAATTTATTGAGTCAGCATGACCATGAACTATACTAGTACCTGAATTATATTGCTCTGATAGCAGAGAAGACTGGACATGCGGATATGTCTGATGGTACTGGCCACTACTAGCACCAAAAATGAAAGTTCCACTTTTCGCAGTGCACTGAAATGATGTGCTATTCTTCTTACCAAAAATGGATGTTGCTCCATCCTGATGCAAATTGTCAGTAAGTAAAGGTATCTGATCTAATAACAGCAGATTTGAGTCATTCACTCTTGCACTCTGAAGCGATTTGGAGCTTGACGATGCTGACAAAGATTGACTTGGATAGCTTGAAGTACTTCCGTTAGAATTATCAAAAGTTCTAGTAGACGGCTTTATTTCATTGCTTGCTGAAGCTGTGAAAATATTTATCCATTTTGCATAGGGTTGCTCTTTATTGGTCTTGTATTCATTTCCTAACTTCCCATTGTTATCACCCACATTAGAGCAAGAGTTGAGCTTATTCTGTGCTTCAGAACATTTGAATTGCTGATATGTTGGATTATATTTGATAGCACAAACATCAGAATCATGTGTCCCATTTCTTAATGCATGCTCAGCTGATGTGCTAGGCTTTTTACTGAGGATGGACTCATGTGGTACTCTCACTAGCTCAACCGATGTGCTAGGCTTCTCACCAAGGATGGATTCATGTGGCGCTTTCACTTGATGCAACTCAACTGATGTGCTAGGCTTCTTACCAAGGATGGATTCATGTGGTGCTTTCACTTGATGCAAATGAGCAGAAGCTATAGGCCTTTGAGCTGATGAATGGGACTGAGTAGAAGTTGGCGATGCTGAAACAGAAGCTTGGTCTAGCTCAATTGTACTCTTTCCTACAGGACATTCAGGAACCCCAATTGAACCAACCGGCTTGTTAGCAGAACCAAATGTGATGTTTGTCTTCTTCTTTACATACATCTGAAGTGGCTTCGACACATGTCGATTGACTGCCTTTCCCTTATAACTGCCTGGTGTAAACTCAGAATGAAGCTTACTCTGTGCTTCAAAGTATCTGAAATGCTGAGACATTTGATTACATTGACCACTACTAGCACCAAAATTAAGAGTTGCATTTCTTGGCAAACACCCAGTTGATATGCCAGGCTTATCAGCAAGGACGGGCTGGGTTGTTGCTTCTGCTTGTGAATGAGTAGACAGGACATGTCTATGAGACGACAAGTTGGACAAAGTACGATTTTCCGGTGGAACTGAGGTATTCGCTTTTGCACGTTTTGTTGAGTCAGAACTTGATGATGATAATGATGAAACCGAATAATGGTCGACCTCGCTAAGTGTCCTTCCAGTAGAACTTCTAGAAACTCCACCAGCTGGCACTACACGATCTTGACAAATTTCAGTAGTAGATGAATAACTTGCCTTCTTAACATACTTTTGAAGAGTTCTCACTCTAATTTGAGTGCCTTCCTTTCCATTACCATCACTCTTACCATAATCGAAAAGAACCTTACTATGTGAACACTTTAAGGTATCTGAACTATTCAGATGCAGCTTGCAACCTAGCACACTTCTTGGAGGCGGCGGCTCTGGTAGCAGCAGCTCGCCTGCTGTAAGGTTTTCCCAGAGCCAGACCTTCTTAGCTGCAGCAGCAAGCACCTGAGATGATGCATTGGGAGGTCGTACTAGCAGGATATCATAGCGTTTCATCCTAAGTCTGTGAAGGAGGTCAGAGAGATCCTGATCGCCTGAGATAAGCAAGTAGTTGCCCGGTGGAGGATTGTCGAATGCCCAGAACAACATGTCGACAAGCATCCTCTTCTCACTGGTGTCTTTGCTCCCTGCCAATCGTCAGGTGAAAGGGATTCGATTAGCAGCGCGTATTCAACTAGGCGGCAATGGGCTGAGAGCAGGAGAGGTGGAGAGTCTGTACTGTACCGGCAGGGACGTGGTTGAGGCAGATGCCGGTGGCGGAGAGCGCTGCCAGGACGGGCGGGGGGACCCGGGCGGCGTCGCCGTAGGCAGCAATCGAGACGGGGCCGACGTACCCCGCAGCGGCGAGCGCGGCGATGAGGTTGTGGGCGATGCGGTGCGGGTCACAGCGGCCGCGGGGCACCGCGCACTTGTCGATGTCCCACCACACCGACGTCTTGGCCGTCGACGCCGTCGCGACCGCCGCCGTAGGCGCGCACTCTCCCATTGCATCCGCGGGTCCGATGGGTGGTTAATCGTAGGGATGGCTTAGGGTTTCGCCGGCGGTGGAGCCGTCGGGACGGGTGGAGTTGTAATTTGTTTGACGCCGGCGCCGTCTCCGCCAAGGAAGGAGGCAGAGACAAAAGAGGAGGAACCAGAGACCTAGGGTCAGTTAAATTGAATGGTTCAGATCAATCCCTGTCTGGTTCGCGATTTCAGCCAGAGACAAAAGTTCGCTGGATTCCCCTTTTTTTAAAATAAATAAATACACATCTTGTTTTTAATGAGTCAAACTTTTCTAGATTTAACCTATAGAATTACAAAAAAATATTACCAACATTTATATCTTATTTATTATAAAAAATATATATTACTACTGGTCTAATAATATTTATTATGCATTATAAAGATTAACATTTTTCATATATATTTCGTTACAATAAAAAGTTTAACTTTTTGAAAAATGAGATGTGCAGTTATTTAAAGTCAGGGACATGAAAGTATCGTTTTACAGACAAGTGTAGAGAAGAAAAGAGCACCGTCACATCAAGATAAAAAAAAATGTCACGCCCAAAAGAAATTTGCCAGCAAATTCGTCATCCAACCAAAGACGCATCCACGGCTCTCTAAAGAAAAAAAATCACGAATATCCCGCACTAATAATCTCAATTAAAAAGGTTCAAAAGATTGATTGTCATGAACGACCATCAACTGACCAGTTTAACTAACGTGGCTTTATATTTTACATTTTTACCTAGTACATGAAAAAATATTGTGAATTAGGAGTACTGATTAACATGTCGTCAACAAGGTCCAAAAACAAACGCCGAACAAACATAACCAAATCCACGCCATATGTGCATGATAACTGGATACCAGAGATGTTGCATTCTGAAGCTGACATATCGACAAACAAATTACCTGTGAGATACAGATGCAATCAGCCGCCCTGGGAAAAACGAACAATCTCATCTCTCACCCTCCGACCAATGATATACTTTGGCAGGCATTTGGTTCAAAGAATTACCCAGTCTCCATTGAGTCGGTCCATTTTTAACAATACCATTCATCGAATGATTTCAGTGAAAGAAGATCATCCCTCGTATTATATCGAACAAGGTGGTCTGAAACTAAAAAAACATGCTTCGAAGGCATTGGAGTTACAGGCTTACAGTCTTATGGTGAATCCCGTTACTCAAACTAAATGCCTCGGGTGCTTGACGGCAACTATTTTTTGGAGGTTGAACAATTATAATGACAGTACAAACCAGAAGCAAAACGATTCTGAATTATGATCACATTCCATCGAGATGATGAATGCAAAGACAACAAGTAGGACACGAACAGCTGAAACTATAGGCGGCTGGCCTTCAGAACTATAGATTCTAGCTGATAAGCCGGCTGATATATTTGCATACCAGCACAGTAATTGAGAAAGCAATAGAGTCCTAATTACAGGAATGGCTTCTTCTGAATCGATTAAGGCAAGGGTTCCTCTGAATCTCCCAGCCGTGATAAGTGGAGGTAAGCATCAGTTCCTACATGAAAATGAAAAACATAATAGTGATCAACTGAATGACAAGAGTGTATCTATGCTGTATTTCTGTAAGATGGAAGCTGATGCAGCAATATAGTAATTGTGATCCAATGCTTATGGAAAATCTCAATTTCAGATGTTGTAAGTTCCCATAGTAAATTAGGAAAGCTAAAATAATGTGGAAGAATTGGCATACATGCTTAACTTCCCAAGGTTTATGTGTCAATATTTTAACCTTCACTTGCACTTTACAAAATAGGAGTAATCAGCATTCAGAAAGTCTAAACTTCATACTGATTTATGAAAATCAAAGAGAAAGATGAATACAGCCACATTCTTCAGTGTGCTCAGATATCTTCAGTGTGCTCAATATCTGAATATAAAAGGTTAAGTATGTGCATACCATATCCTTCCATAGAGATGATCTGCAAGTCCCCACCGAAATATCGAGCATAAAGACGACTAATAGGGATCCCATAACCATATCCAGCCATAGTTACTCCTTCATTATGTCCATCCAGATCAGGAGGGTTTTCTGCTGTACTATAGAGATACGTAAAAATTCTTGAGAGGCCACTCCTTGGTATTCCACCACCTTCATCACTAATCTGCAAAAGTATGGTTTAGTCGAACAGTTCATACTTCATACCAGATCATGAATAATCGAAACTATTGATTTTTGCTGATATAGGTGAAGAAGATACAAGTTTGTCAGCCGAATATCACAATTAATGAGAGAAAATTCTAACAAAAGGCTTTGGTCAATGAGTTGGATTGGCTATCTGTTAGCATCATAAAGGGCGCATGATTTACGTCTCTGCCAGTTGCATTTGGCTATAATCAGAGAAAAAAAGTCAGCTGACATTGCTGGATGACTATTAATATGGGTCTTGTATCCTCAGGCCAGCAAGAAATAAATGGAGTCAATTTCGCTTAAATCTCTTTTACTCCTTTGGCAACAAGTACCACCATGGAACCATGCCAAGACAAGAAAAGTTCAGCATCAAGATCAAGGTCAGCTGCAAAAATGAAACTACTTCGCACAACAACAATGTCTATTTATCTTTCAGGCACATATAAGACTCACAAAGGTCAACATCACTCAGATTTAAAGACGACTCACAACTTTAGTTCTCTACAATTACCTTTGTTTTCTTTGCCTACCACAAGTACTATGTTATGGTGGGCCAAGTGTACCAGCGAAGGAAGCCTAACCGTGGCTGAAGACGCGGGCGTGAAGCGCGCAGAGCGTGGCGACGAAGGGGTGATCGTGCCCAGGGCGGCGTCCTCGTTCCTAGGATCTTGGATTGCATTTCGTAGTCAGTTTGTTAGATCAGATAGATCTTGTTGCTTAATTTGTGGAACATTCGGTTTGTTAGCATGTGGCTATATATAGCCCGCACACTTGATTAATGAAGGGCAGCTGGAGATTGAGTCAATCTCTTCCGCTCTCGAGTGACTACACTATCACGTGTTCCAGTTCGACGCCAGACTTCAGGACGGCGTCGCGCGTCCGCCGCTGTCGAGAGCCTAAGCCCCGCCCACCAACCTCGCATGACTACTACCTGAGAGGAACGAGTAGCGAACCTAACAACCTGGTATCGGCAATGTCAGGTCCGATGGCTGGTGTTCCCACCACTGCCCTCTCTTCTGCCGCCATTCCTCTCATCCAACCATCGACCACCGCCCCGCTCCCGCAAACCACCGCGCCTCCCACCACGGGGGATTCCTCCTCCCCAGACCCCCTCACCGCCGCCATACTAGGACTGCAACGCCAGATGGGGCAGTTCGCCACACGCCTGTCCGCCCTGGAGGGGCGGGCCTCGTCTTTCGCCAGCGGGCCGTCCGCAAGTGGTCCGCACCCGGCCTCGTCTCCATACGGCATGCCGGGCTACGGCGGCATTCCGGCGGCGCCAACGACCGGCTCCGTTGTGATTCACACGGCGGCGTCGGCGGAACCCCAGGTACCCTCAGCGCCGCTGCCGATCAACCAGATTCCATTTCCACATTCGCCTTCGCCACTTCCCACCTTCAGCTCGCCACCTCCGCCGCCGCCGAGCCACTACGACGGTCACTCGGAAGGCCGCGGCGCCCCGGGACACTATGAGGGTCACGCGGACGCCCGCGGCGTGCCCCGTTTCCAGAAGCTGTCCTTCCCGACGTTCGACGGGTCGGACGACCCCCTGCCGTGGTTGAACAAGTGCGAACACTTTTTCCGGGCGCAGCGCACGCCAGAGACGGACAAGGTCTGGCTCGCGTCGTTCCACATGAATGCCGTGGCCCAGCACTGGTACTACATGCTGGAGCGCGATGCCGGCGACGTCGGCAACATCTCCTGGCCCTTCTTCAAAGCGCTCTGCCACCAGCGCTTCGGGCCACCGCTCGCCACCAACCACCTCTCCGATTTGGTGCGCCTGCCATTCCCGGGCTCTGTGGCGGGGTACCAGGAGGCGTTCCAGGCTCGGATGGCGCACGCCGGGCCCCTGTCTCCGCTCCAGCAGGTCCAGCTCTTCACCGGCGGCCTACCGGACCCGATCCGCACCGACGTCGAACTCCAGGGCCCTGCGGATCTTCAGCGCGCCATGGGCCTGGCCCGTGCCTACGAACGCCGCGCTGGAGCGCTGCCGACGGCGCCCGCTGCTCGTCCACCGCGTCCCCCGGCGTGCTCCCAGCCGCTGGCACTGCCGGCCGCACCAGTGGCTACAACGCAGGCAGCGCCCGCGACCCCGGCACAGGCGGCTCTTCCGGCGCCGCCACGGCCGTTCCGTCGTCTCTCCCCGACCGAGATGGCGGAACGTCGACGTCAGGGCCTGTGCTATAACTGCGATGAGCAGTACGTGCGCGGGCACAGATGTCAACGCCTGTTCTACTTGGAGGTCACCGACTTCGACGACACCGAGCCTCTGTTGCCGGACAAAGAACAGGCACGCGACGAGCCGTTGGACGAGCTTCCACCGCTCATCTCCCTCACGGCGATCACCGGCATCTGGACCGAGGACACGATGCAGGTCCGGGTCTCCATCGGCAACTACGAGCTCACGGCCCTCCTCGACTCAGGCTCAACTCATAACTTCATCAGCTCAGGGGCCGCTCGCCGCATCGGTCTCCACTTCCACGACAGTCAGGGCGCCCATGTGGTGGTCGCCAACGGGGACCGCGTCGCGTGCTGCGGCCTGGCCCACGACGTCGCCATCCGCATCGGCGACGAGTACTTCAACGTCGACTGCTACGCCATACCGCTCAACTGCTACGACATGGTACTGGGCGTCAAGTACCTGCGCACACTGGGCCCCATCTTATGGGACTTCGACGACCTCTGCATGGCCTTCTGGCATCACGGCAAGCGCGTCCTGTGGAAGGGAATCGGCTCCACGCGCACTGATATCCCGCCCACCGGGCGTCTCCACGCCGCGCGCGGCACCGAGCCCGCCCTCCTGGACCACCTGCTGGAGTACTTCGCCGACATCTTC